GCTAGAAGGAGAGTTTTGACAAGTCTGAGCAGAGAAGAAAATGCAAGGAAAATCCCAGCAGTCTTCTTTTTCTTCCCTGTGGCTGCTGCAACTGAGAATGTGCTAATTCTTTAACTTTCAGTACCCTCTAACTTTCTGTTTTGCTTATTCATTAGAGAAGGTAAGCTTTACTCTTCTTTCTGGTATGTAGTATTACCACCATGAAAATGTATAAAATTCTTAGCACATACTTAATTGCTGTAATATTCCCTGTCACTGTGGAACTTTGGCAGAATATGACTTGTGCATCGTAGGAACAGAGAAGCAAGAGAACCCTGGAATATTGACTTCTATAGGTCTTACATCTTTGCTCTGAGTTATAAGTAGATGGTCTTCAGGGGAGCATACATACACCCAGTGCCATCATTCAGATGAAGGGTGTTGACTTTAAAAGTGTGCTTACATACACTAATGCATTTCATTTTAACTCTAAGCATACAATTACACGTTCATGTACCCATTTTTTAAAACGTAGGGCCAAAGCCTGGAATTCTGAGTCAGTGGTTCTTAGAACTTTCCCGTAATTGAATGCATCAAATTTCTACCTTCTGTTTTTTTTTTTTTTAACCAGAGCAAGTAAAACATGCACAAAGCAGTAAGTTAAAATCCTCTAACGTTTTGTTTTTCCAGTCTTTTAGAATTGCTGCAATAAACATAACTCAAACGCATTGTTTTGGTGATTTGCTTTTATGGAGCAAACCTAATGTTTAAATTAAGTTTTATCAAAAACAAAACAGAACAAAACAAATGACCCCTTTTCCCACTAATATTTAATTTATTTACATAAAATTGTGAGTCTTATCATTACAATAACAGAACTAGAGTAAATGCTTTGGGGACCAACACAACTGACGTTTAGTAAGTAACTCAGTTGGCAGAGACAGTAGTATACAAATGTATTTAATGCATTTAGTTTTCTCTGGATATCAATATATTTTAAAGAAGGAGTGGAGAACAGTGATTCATGTGTTAAGTTTGTTAAAGGGGAAAGAAGTTAAGAATACTTCTACTGTTGGGGTGCCTGGGCGGCTCAGTCAGTTGAGTGAGCATCTGACTCTCGGTTTTGGCTCAAGTCATAATCTCAGGGTCCTGGGATTGAGCTCTTCATTGGACTCCATGCTGGGTGTGGAATCCGCCTAAGATTTTCTCCCTTGCAGGGATCCCTGGGTGGCGCAGTGGTTTAGCGCCTGCCTTTGGCCCAGGGCGCGATCCTGGAGACCTGGGATCGAATCCCATGTCGGGCTCCTGGTGCATGGAGCTTGCTTCTCCCTCTGCCTATGTCTCTGCCTCTCTCTCTCTCTCTCTTTCTGTGTGACTATCATAAATAAATAAAAATTAAAAAAAATATTTTCTCTCTTGTCCTCTTCCCCTCCCTCTGCTCTCTCTCTTTCTCAAATAAAATGAATAAATAGAATCTTTAAACAAAAATAGAATCTTAATAGATTTTTTAAAAGAATACCTCTATTGTAGTTATAATTCTATAAAGTTGATATACACTAAATTTGAAAAAAAAAATCAAGGTTTCCAAATTCTACATCTGTGTTGAGAAAAGGAGGAGTGCTGTGATTATCTTAGTACTACCCTCATATTTCTTTTTTTTTTTAAGATTTTATTTATTTATTTATGAGAGACACAGAGAGAGAGGCAGGCAGAGACATAGGCAGAGGGAGAAGCAAGCTCCATGCAGGGAGCCCGACGTGGGACTCGATCCTGGGTCTCCAGCATCATGCCCTAGGCTGAAGGCAGATGCTCAACCACTGAGCCACCCAGGGATCCCTACCCTCATATTTCTTAACATGGATAAAGTAAAACCATTATAAATGAACACCTCAATTACCAGAATCAGTTTCTTTCTGAAACTTCAGAGTATCTCCAGTGATGCTGGCAGTGTGCCTTTAAAATATTAATGTACACAGGGACAAATGGGGAACTTGTTTGAATCCAGATTCATGGACTAGTTCTCAAATATTTTGAATCACTGTGGAGCTAGGAGTTTTGTTTTTTTTGTTTTGTTTGTTTTGTTTTTTTCAGACAGAGCTCCAGTGATTATGATTCCCTGGACACTTTTAAAAAAAACACCTCCCTGAGACTCAGCCAAATTATCTATGACAAGAAATATGTTTTAGGGTTACTTCAATGTCATTATAAAGTGCAATAGTGTTTTCCCACCTGCCTCCCTCCTGTCCTTCCTCCCTTTCTTCCTTCTTTCCTTCTTTCCTTCCAACTTCAATAAAGCGTATGGAGTACCCAGTATATATGCCAGCATTCCACTAGTCTTTGAAGATTCACAAATACAGCACAGCTTCTGTCCTCAAGGAGCTCACAGTTTGGTCAGTAAGACAAATATGTAGTTCAAGAATTGCACTCAACTTCAAACATTACCAAGAATACTTTTGGGAATTCAGAAACTGAATACCCAAATCTAGAATGCCAGCAGTTTCTTAGAGTTCTTTATTTTCCTATCACTAACGTAACTAACATTAAGAGCTGGATTTCCTTTGAAGACTATTTTTTCTTTCCCCACAAAGAAACAATTTTTGAACAGTTAACGACCATGACTGGGATTGCCCTAAGGAGAACAAGAGTCATGTTAAGATTCAGGTGCAGAGCAGCCAGATAGATTCACGCACTAACTCTTCCAGGTCAACCTTCTGCCTCAACACCAGATCTATACCAGTAAAGCATTTAAATGACGCTAGTCCTGGATTTGCAGGCTTGCTTATTAATATTTAAAAATGAAAACGTTAAAGCTAGAAAAGTCAGGGGTCTAGTAATATAAGTTATTATCTAAGCATAATTTGATTCCTTAATAATAATAGTAATAGCAACAACAACAAAATAATAATATTGTTAAATAACTTATCTGATAATACCCTGATAATATTGATTGAAAACATTTAAATTATGTTCAAAATATTCAATTAACTAGTATTTTAGAAACATTTTCAAAAGTAAGCTGTGACACAAAGAGATGGAAAAATATTCCATGCTCATGGATTGGAAGAATTAATGTTGTGAAAATGTCAGTGCTACCCAGGGCAATTTACACGTTTAATGCAATCCCTATCAAAATACCATGGACTTTCTTCAGAGAGTTAGAACAAATTATTTTAAGATTTGTGTGGAATCAGAAAAGACCCCGAATAGCCAGGGGAATTTTAAAAAAGAAAACCATATCTGGGAGCATCACAATGCCAGATTTCAGGTTGTACTACAAAGCTGTGTTCATCAAGACAGTGTGGTACTGGCACAAAAACAGACACATAGATCAATGGAACAGAATAGAGAATCCAGAAGTGGACCCTCAACTTTATGGTCAACTAATATTCAACAAAGGAGGAAAGACTATCCACTGGAAAAAAGACAGTCTCTTCAATAAATGATGCTGGGAAAATTGGACATCCACATGCAGAAGAATGAAACTAGACCACTCTCTTGCACCATACACAAAGATAAACTCTAAATGGATGAAAGATCTAAATGTGAGACAAGATTCCATCAAAATCCTAGAGAAGAACACAGGCAACACCCTTTTTGAAGTTGGCCACAGCAACTTCTTGCAAGATACATCCATGAAGGCAAGAGAAACAAAAGCAAAAATGAACTATTGGGACTTCATCAAGATAAGAAGCTTTTTGCACAGCAGAAGATACAGTTAACAAAACTAAAAGACAACCTACAGAATGGGAGAAGATATTTGCAAATGGCATATCAGATAAAGGGCTAGTATTCAAGATCTATAAAGAACTTATTAAACTCAACAGCAAAAAAAACAAACAATCCAATCATGAAATGGGCAAAAGACATGACCAGAAATCTCACAGAGGAAGACACAGACATGGCCAACAAGCACATGAGAAAATGCTCCGCATCACTGGCCATCAGGGAAATACAAACCAAAACCACAATGGGATACCACCTCACACCAGTGAGAATGGGGAAAATTAACAAGGCAGGAAACCACAAATGTTGGAGAGGATGTGGAGAAAGGGGAACCCTCCTGCACTGTTGGTGGGAATGTGAACTGGTGCAGCCACTCTGGAAAACTGTGTGGAGGTTCCTCAAAGAGTTAAAAATAGATCTGCCCTATGACCCAGCAATTGCACTGTTGGGGATTTACCCCAAAGATACAGATGCAATGAAATGTCGGGACACCTGCACCCCGATGTTTATAGCAGCAATGTCCACAATAGCCAAACAGTGGAAGGAACCTTGGTGTCCATCAAAAGATGAATGGATAAAGAAGCTGTGGTCTATGTATACAATGGAATATTCCTCAGCCATTAGAAACGACAAATACCCACCATTTGCTTCAATGTGGATGGAACTGGAGGGTATTATGCTGAGTGAAATAAGTCAGTCGGAGAAGGATAAACATATGGTCTCATTCATTTGGGGAATATAAAAAATAGTGAAAGGGAATAAAGGGGAAAGGAGAAAAAATGAGTGGGAAATATCAGAAGGGGAGACAGAACATGAGAGACTCGTAACTCTGGGAAACGAACTAGGGGTGGTGGAAGGGGAGGTGGGCGGGGGGTGGGGGTGACTGGGTGACGGGCACTGAGGGGGGCACTTGATTGGATGAGCACTGGGTGTTATTCTATATGTTGGCAAATTGAACACCAATAAAAATAAATTTATATATATGTATATAAAAGTAAGCTGTGACAGAGAAGTGTTTACTGATCAAACCTATTAACCAGATTGATTTAATCCGAAATCATCTTAACTTCCACAGCTTTGAACATCAGCCTTTATTGTAATAAGAATTTGACATAAGGCCCAATGGAGGGAAACATAACAGAAAATTCCTGAGTCAGTAATTGGAAAAAAGTGTGTAAAAATGTGAAAAGTAATCTACTTTTAAAGAAGGTTTTCTTATTATTTAGGATGTAGTTAATATTAAACCTGAGAAGAAGTTTTCTCTGAAATAACAACCACATGTCTATCGTCTTTCGTAGGGTTTTGGAAATCCCTCTGGCGAATATTGGCTGGGGAATGAGTTTATTTTTGCCATTACCAGTCAGAGGCAGTACACACTAAGAATTGAGTTAATGGACTGGGAAGGAAACCGAGCCTATTCACAATATGACAGATTCCACATAGGAAACGAAAAGCAGAACTACAGGTAAGTCTCCTTTCATGTAGGGCTCAGCTACCTTGGGCCTCACCACCTACTAGTTATAGTGGAAAAGTGGAAAAGACGGAAATGATGCAAATCATGCTTCAAAATGAAAATTAGGTTGTCTAGGCCTATGGTAGTGATACAAAAACACTCAGTCAAGACTTCTTAAAAGCATTAAATTTCAATTTTCACAGATGGATTGTTTTAATGTTGGCTCAGGTTCTAGAGGATGAGGAATTAAGTCCAGCACAATATTATCATTGTTGTAGTTCTTATTGTTGTTACTATGATGAGATCGGTGTTGTAAATTCATATGCACAAAATTGATGACAGAGAATTGACTCAAACTCAGGGGTACTTCAATTAAGTACCCCTTTCTATCAAAAGGTGTTATATTTATACTTTATTTATTTTTATTTTTTTAAGATTTTATTTATTTATTCATGGGAGACACACACACAGACACAACACACACACAGAGAGAGAGGCAGAGACACAGGCAGAAGGAGAAGCAGGCTCCATGCAGGGAGCCCGATGCGATTCTCAATCCCCAGGACTCCAGGATCATGCCCTGGGCCAAAGGCAGGAGCTAAACAGCTGAGCCACTCAGGGATCCCCTATTTAAACTTTATTTACCTTTCTTAGATTATTATCTTTCACATTGTTTTGAAAGTGGCAAAGAAGAGGTAAAATGTTATGTTTTTTATGATTTACATAAAAGATAAAGTGGGGCATAATTTAGAACTTTTTGGTAAATAATGTGAAGGCAAAAATAAATTCAAATAATCGGATCAATGTACACAAAATTCTGGATGTACAAGCAGACAAACTATACACTTTCCTATTAACATCTCTGATTTTTTTTCAATGAGCAACATGTACACTAGGAAAAAAAACATTAATAAATGGCTAACAAGTAATGTGGTATGGTAAATTCATTCCCCAAACCCTTATTGTGTTACTTCTGTGTTCCAGGAACCCTACTAGACACTGCTAATTTTGCAGTCAGTGATGAGATCTCTAGTCTCCCAGACCTCAGAGTTCAGCTTTGTAACTAGCTAGGTCACTAAATAACTGGCTGGCATTTCTTGAGAACAGGGAATGTATTTCCATTACTTTTATATCACTACTCATTAACACAATATCTGGCACATAGCAGGTCCTTAGTAATTGTGTATGACGGGGTTTCATAATCAGTAAATTAATTTTGCAATGATTTCTAACTCTCCATATTGTAACGATTCTATATCAGCTTTGAAAACATGATTGTGTACATTAAAGTGTTGGCACCTAGCTTTGAGCAAATGCAACTGCAGCAACCAAAGCCTCCTCTTTTTCCAACCTGTGTGGCCATCTTGTAGCTCAGCTGTTTCTGCTGCTTATGTCTTTCTGAGACATACTGTTCCTGTAGAGTTTGAATCTACGACATTTTCATGAACACATCTCATTTTAATATATTATGCATGGGATTGTATCCTTGGAGACATAAGAATCATTTTCTTAACAAACAGTGATGATGTCACCACAACAGAGGGATGAGAAATGAATCTAAGAGTTTTCATCGTCTCAAGGGAGGGTGGTGAGGGTGTACATAATGGCAACTCAAGAAACCAAAGAAGAGACATTTATAAAATGCAATGGAGTGTAAGAAGAAATGTTTCCAAAGAGGTCAATATTTGGGGAGTTTTATAACAAGAGAAACCACTGTAAAACATCAGGGGTACTCTTATGTAAATGTTTTGACCTGAAACTTGAAACTATATGAAACTTGGCTAATGTCAGACAGCCTGACAATAGGACTAGCAAATAATTAGTCTAGTCTTTTTCTAGGCTCCTGAAGAATTTGCTTTGGTTCCTTTCCAAAATGTCTCTTAGCTCTTAGTAGGTAGGTAGGTGTGTGTGTGTGTGTGTGTGTGTGTGTGTGTGTATGAGCATGTGCTTGTGAAGCTGGGGTGATATTAAGACAAAGAGTGCATGGGAAGGTTTAGGAAAATTGTCAGAATCCAAAGTAGGCTTCAGGGTGCATGGTGTGACTGTCATCCTGGTATCTGTGTGAGGAAGGAGCACATGTTTCCTCTTAGAATGCCCCACTGCCCACATTGAGCCATTTCCCATCCCTTCACTGTATGAGTCTGACCTTCACCCATCTGATGTACATCTATGACTGAACAGCAAGTCTTCCCAGATAGAGTGAGCCACACACTCTGGGATCCCCATTTTGTAAACCTTGAGACCTATGATTATAAATCCAGAAGGCAGTTAATACTTTAATTCCAAACCTCTGGGTTGTCAAGCAAAGAAAGCTGAGATCCAGAAATATGCAACATTTTTCCCAAGGAAGGAGAAAGACTTAAATATGGGATGTTTGACTCCTACCTAGTTTGGTGTGGTTTCTACTTTGCATTGCTGCTGTACTAAAGTTGGTGGCTCTGGACCTCTCTCCTGCCAGGACCTAACAGAAAATAGGTCTGTAATCATCACCTTGTCATGCTATTAAGTATAAAATTCATGTTGGCATCAAATGGGAAATTAAAACTCATTAAAACATAATACCTATTCTGGTGAAAACTTACTTAAAATAAGCACACTATCAAATGGTCTTCCTTACTCTTTTAGAGAAAATCAAACAGAAGCTTGAAAAGGTAGTATACCCGTGTGACTTCCCTCCCCACCTGTATCATCACTCGCTCAGCCAGGAACACCAAGTGTGGCCTGAGCTAGAGCTCCAGATGTCCAACTTTGCTGCTGCTTTTCCCCCACTTATTTCTCTTCCTTCTGAATTAGGAAGGCATGTCTCATTGTGGTAATTCATTAAAAGGACTAATACTAGCATTTGTTTACCATTTTATAATTAATGAAATGGTTTTTTTAACACTTTAGGCATTCAATCCTCACAATGAATTTTTGATATAAATATTATTAGATACATTTTAAATATAAAGAAACTGAGGCTTTGGTCAACTGACTTCTCAAACTCAAATAAATTTCAACTAAAAACACAGCTTTGGAATTCATGTAGGTTTTTGTTTTATTATATTTTTTAATTTTCTATATTTTTTCCTCTTCCAAATTAAGTTCAGATGATTTTTTGAGAGTTTTTTTTAAGTATCCTGTCTTAATAGAAATTTTATTTTGGAAACTGTTATAATAGCTGCGGTCATAATGTATAAATCTAATTTTAAAAACTCTTTCTCATGCTCTGGACACATACTGATAAAAGTAAGTGTTGTTGAATGGATAGATAAGCTTACAGTGTGTATATAGAATAACATATTTTCCTTGTATCCTCTAAGGAAACTCCAAATGAGCTTCTCAGATAGAAAATAAAATCTGTGAAACCTAGGAGAATATAAATAAGAAAAAAATGTGAGAGTGTCATGATAAACACATCATGTAAAATAACACACAATTAATGTGAAATTATTAAATACTTCCTCTAGAGAGGTAGTATTATTCAGGCCCTCGTCATCTAACACCTAAACTATTGCACAGCTTTCCTGTCTCCAATCTTGATGCTTTCAAATATATCACCCACACTATTGTTAGGATGGTTTTTCTAAAAGATAATATGACTTTGGTCTCTGCCCTCATTCATATATTTAAGCAATGTTCAAATAACTATAGGCTAGGGGTACCTGGGTGGCTCAGTCAGTTAAACATCCAACTCTTGATTTGGGGTCAGGTCATGATCTCAGGGTTTTGAGATAGGGCCCCACATCAGTGTAGAGCATGCTTAAGATTTTCTGTCTCCTCTCCCCCTCTTCCTCCACTTACGCTTTCTCCCTCTCTCATTAAAAAAAAAAAATCTGTAGGCTAAAGTCTGTCACTTAAAAGTGTTTATGACTTAGCCCTACCTACTCATTCAGCTATCACTAATATACTCTCCTACAACCTCACCCAACCAGATACCCCCTCATTATGATTAAATTCTAGAAACTACTTGCAATTTCTCAAAACCTTCTATGTCTTTTTTAATGTTATATCTCTACCCCCACACATAAACTCAACTTTGGATACGTGTTCTAAACCTTTAAGATTCTCCTTTGTTCCAGGAAGTTTTCCCCCAATATTTCTATTATGATATGTGCTGTAATGTGTGAACTCACCCATAGTCTCCCTTCAGAACTATAGCACTCCTCTCAACTTCTGGAAATGTTGCTGATTTACAGCTTGTGGTCAGAGTCCCCTGCCTGAGCATTGCCTGTGGCTGTCACATCACTGAAGGTCACTGTTCTTCCTGCAGACAGATTGCATCCAATGATTAGTCAATATAACAGTGTATAAAGCACTCTTTGCCCCAATTTGGGACAATTTTGAAGGGTCATCCCAATTCCAGAATGCCACTTGGGATTAGCTGAGCTCTTTACTGTAACTGTGTGTGAACCACCCTCTCTCTGTTCAATACTACTTTTTCACTCTGCCACAGGGATTGATCCTGAGAGCCCTCCCGTGTAAGTCTCCCTACACTGATTTCCCAGAAAAATGCATCACCCTCACTCTCAGGCCAGTTTGGATGTTTTATGCTCCCATAGATCCATAACAATCTGTGGATAACTAACCAGTGTCCACATTCTATTATAAGTATTTATTAAATAACTATGTGTTTCCCTTTTCTACTATTTCTAAGCTTCTCAAGTATAGGAACCATTTTTATCAAAATTCAAGATATATACCTAAGTTAGCTAAAATATTAAGTAACAGATAATAGCTAATATTTGATGAGCACATGTATGAATCAGATACCTTGTTTTTACATGAGAAAACAGACATGGTACAAAGTCACAGTTACTAATATGAGTCAGTTATTTGGGCTTTGATCTCATAACTGCCCCTCATATGGCCATCTCTCCATAAAGGGGAATCCAGGAGTTACCTTCTAGAATTAAATGCATTTAAACCACATATTCTAACAGATAAAATTATTTCTTCTGATCCTATTTCTGTCTTTAATAATTTGAATGCCCATGGGCATTATCTTCTCTTTTGTTCTCAATTTTCTGTCT